AACATAACTACTGTACTGCACCTGTTCTTTGGTGCACTTCTTCTATCTGGTGTTTTCTTTGTGCTACAAGCTTCTTATCACTCTTGTTTTGACATTTCCAAATGGCTCTAGGCAATTAAAACTAACCATTTCCCACTGAAGACATCTACACCCGAGGATGACTTCATGTTCCTTTACATAGTGTCAGGTTCCACCAGGTTTCTCACTGTGCTTCTTTGTTCCTGTGACACGTACGTATTATTTAGGCTGTCATCACCTTTTGGGTGATGATCTGTACTGCAGTACCCGAGACCAGTTGATTTGCAGCCTGTTTTGCACATATTCCATATGTGGCATCAAGCCTACACCCTTCCAATATGTGGAACAATTTCCTACAAATAAACATGATCTAAACTCTTGCTCTCAGTGCAGAAGCCAAAGCTGTAATGGTAGACATTCGTTGATTTACTGTATTATGTAGAGACAATTAACAAACTCTAAATAATTAGCACAACTTCCTCATACCATTGCATACCTAGTAGCTGGAAAAACACTTCCAGAGCAGGCAAGTTTATAATACTCCATTTTGATACTTGCTTAATGCAAATAGGTATGAAATTTTTCAGACCCGGAAGTGAAATTGCTTTTCCTCACAAGCAAATGACAACAACAGCAACAACAAATTTACATTTATAGAGTGCCTTCCACGTTGGGAGGACGTGCCAAGATGCTGGACAGTCCAGAGTTTGTAGCCGAGGGGTAGGAGTTGAGGGAAGTGGTGAGTCGTAGAGACTCCACAGTGGAGTTCCAGAGAGTGAGGCTGAAAGCTTGACCACCGATGATGGGGTGGATAGGTTGGGAGACACGGTGCCTACCGAGAAGAGGAAGCAGGTGGGTTTGTAAGATTTGAGAAGGTCACAGAAGTAAGGGGTGGCAAGACCAAGGAGGGATTTAAAGGTCAGAATGAGGATCTTGAGCTCGGTCCTCTGAAGATTGGGGAGCCGTGCGAGAATGGGGGTGATACTTTTGTGAAGCCTAGTGTGGGAAAGGATCCAAGTTGCAGAATTCTGGATAGCTTGTAAAGGGAAGAGTTGGCTAGTCCGACAAACAGAGTTGGCGTAAACGAGCCTGGACGTGTTCAAGGCACGGATCAGGGTCTCATGACCCAAGGGGCGAGGTAATGGCAGAGGCAGGCAATGTTACAGAGGTGGGAGAAAGCCAAGTGGATCAGAGCACCAGTGTAAACATTAAAGCACAGTTGGGAACAAGACACTGAGGTTCTGCATTGGCTCTGTGAGGTGGAGTGTGCATGCATGTGGATTGAGGTGAGAAGGGCAAGGGAAAAGCCTCTGTTTTTAAACCATTGGCATCGAAATATTCCCATGATATGGAAGAAGCACAATATATGTAAATTCCATATATGTAAATTCAACATTAGTAGGCTGTTGTATTTGAGAAATTACCCATTACATGATACTGTTCTTCTGTTGTTACCCATCATATTGCTTCAAACCAATTAATTGTATAGACTTAATGAATATTTTTGGACTATAAATATTTCTCTGAAGTTCATCTATGTTTGTTGTGTAACCACTATAGTTGCATGGTCTTGAGTTAGTATTGATTTAGGTTGTATAGCTTGTTTTTTAGGAAGCTGTATGCAGTTAGTTCACATGTTGAGGTACATAATCTTAGCTCGTAGATGTTCAACATGGTTATTTCTGTCTGTGATATCCCAACCTATATGGCTGTACCTACAACACAGCATTTAAAAATTCTTTTGAATGAATGAAAGATACAGATCCTCATTATTATGCACTTCTTTATAGCACAATTTGGTTCTAACATAGTTGCATTGTGGACCCCATTCCATGTGTTAGTCAACTTTTGCACTAAAACGGCCAATTGATCATTAGATGACTACAAATGTCACATTCTTCTTTGCACAACAAATTGGAAGTGGTGTCACCAGCAACCTAATGCAGCAGAAGTCAGCCATTCTTTCAGCACGTAAACTGGCACAGAGAGTGAGATGGCTGGTTGCACACATGCTCAGTGAAACTGGCTAACTTATCATATTATAAGGTGGTTGGGATTATTGTTCCCAACCATCGCATTATGACTCCACTGTATAATTAAATATCAGGGATAGCCATGTATCACATTTACTTTAGCCAAGAGACAAGACCCATATGCTCTAGTTTTTTCCAATTACTTAAAAAAGAGTCTTGTCAGTCACTAACACCAATTTAATATTATTGTTCGGGCCTCCTTGGAGTGTTGGGCCTCACGAATCCACAGCAGTGATTGAAAATGGAGGAAGTGGGAGATAAGTCAACAAAAGGTTTTGCAAGCTGGAATAATTGACTTGCAAATTTGAGCTACCTTTGGAAACTCCCAATGAACATGAGTATGAATCTCAGGTCCCACTTATGACTATAGGAATTACCAGTGCAATGTGCATGCATTCGACGGAAAAGAAAACATTTTTTTAATTTGGGGACCATTTATTAGAAAATTCTGTGCAAATCATAACCTTGTGTGAAATTGTTTTGGAACCCCTCATTTTTTATATATAAAAAAATTAATTTATCTTAATACAACATTAAAAATTTTATATAGAATTTGAAATTTGTCTACCTTCATTTAAAAGTGTATTGTAAGCCAGATTCTGTTTGCAGGCTTTATCCAGTGCGATACTCATTTAAGCCAACCTGAAATGTGTTGATAAAAGGCCGTGAGGAAATCCAATTGCTTTTGGGAATCTCTGCGGTTATAAAGAGCAGCCATTATAGCAAACTATTCTGTAAGGTGCGATATACTTTTTCAGTTGATGTCAAACTCCGTTTATGAAATTGTGAACAGTAAAATTAACCAGGGTATTAAACCAAAAGGTAATTGAATGGAATGCATGTGAAAATAGCACTAATGCGAATAGAAATGCAACATAATGAACTTCTCTCTGAGATCCCACATGGTTCAGTGGGTAAAGGCATTAGGCTATGCATTGTGGCAGCCAAGTTGTGTTGAGTTCACTGATCACAAGCAGAGCAACAGTTGGGGAGCCACAACTGACTTCATTATGCCTGGGTTAGGTAGAGGAAAATCAGCCAGTCTTCCTGCTCCTGATGAATATTCAGAGACCCCTGAAGGTCTATGTCCATGAATACAGTTGGACCCAATTATAACATGGTACTGTGGGTCCATTAGATCAGATAGCCCCCGCATTAAGATGGGATGCACGACACAATAGCTTCCATTTAGAGCTTCCTGGTTGTCATATCGCTGCTGATATCACTTCCTGTGGGTTGCGCATGCATAATAATAATCCTTGCATTTGATATAGCACCTGATCATGTCATTGAGACGTCTAAAGCGCTCGTCAGAATATATATATATTTTATATATAAACCCCAAACAATAATAAATTGGTCATTTTCAATCTACGACTGTTTGTGGGACATTGCTGTGCGCAATTGGCTGTTGCGTTCGCCCACAAATATACAGTCAATTCACTTTACAGTGTGTTCTGTGAAGCGCTTTGGGACGTCCTCCCGACGTGAAAAGCGCTATATCAAATGCAAGGATTATTATTATTAGAGAATTGAATTTAACTGCAATAATAATAATAACTTTTACATTTGATATAGCGCTTTTCACGTCTTCTAGACGTCTCAAAGCGCTTCACAGAATATGCTATAAAGTGAATTGACTGTATATTTGTGGGCGAAACGCGGCAGCCAATTGCGCACAGCAGTGCCCCACAAACCGTTGTGGATTGAAAATGACCAATTTATTATTGTTTTGTTTTTGGAGGGATTATTATTAGGTGTGTGGAATAAGGAAACTGCAATGTTCCTACATGCAAATAGATTATCAACACTGACTGTTAAAGCACATTATGATTAATTACCAGTATTGGAGGTCAACTGGCACTTGTGGAACTAAAAGAATAGATGTATAAAGGACTCAAAAAATATCTTCTGAGAGAAGCCCTGTAGCGTATCAGTTAGAGCATTCACCTCACAAGCAACAGGACCCAGGTTGGATTCTCGGACAGGGTGAAACCTTAGACAAGTTTCCTTACTCCACACAACTCTGTTTATCTGGCAGTATGTAGGAAGTTAGTTGATTGGCAAATCGCTTTTCCTGCGGTAATAATCCCTTCAAAAATAAATAATAATAATTTGGTCACTCAATCCACAACTGTTTTTTGGACACTGCTGTGCACAATTGGCTGCTGCGTTTCAACCACAAAATATACAGTCAGTTCACTTTACAGTATATTCTATGAAGCGCCTTCGAGACTTCTCATCAACGTGATAAGGTGCTATATCAAATGCAAGGATTATCATAGGAGCAGTGGACTGTTGAAAATTAGCTGGAACATAAATTCTCTAGTTTAGTGATCATTATCAAGTCCTTTTGTATAATCTTCAATTTATCTATTTATATGTATAATGTGTCATTGAGAATTTAAATGCCTAAGTGAAATAAATGTAAACAATTTTCTGATAGTATTTCAATACCAGCTAATATCTTCCTGTGGCTGCATTAGTTAGTTTCTATTGTGAATTTCATTATATCACTATAATTCAGTTACACATTATCACTAAATCCTTCATGATCTTGCTACACAGATATAATACTATTATCTGTGAACAACAAAGCAAAAAGCTTTTAACCTTTAGCCTGCTAAGCGTATTTTAAAAGTAATCATCAGCCTGTGAACATTTTCTAATCAGTTTTACCAATTTACGTGACTTTTTTATTGACAGGATATATCTTTGATTGTGCTGAGCTGCTGAGCTTGAATTGTTTAAAAATCTTGCTTGAATCTTGTGTTACGTATAGATTACGAACTATCAGCCTCGAAAAAAATCTTATTGCAAGACCAGTGTACAATGTGCAATTATTCTGCACATGGCAAAATGTATTTGTCTACACTTTGTCTTCTCTTGTCTTAAATTTGGTGTGAATTATGGAAACATTAAAATGTTGAACCATGTAATCTTCTACAGGCAAAATTGGAACATGAAGTCTGCCAGGAATTCACTGTGGAGAATATGATTTCAGCATTGCCTACATTCCCTAAGGGCGCCCCTCAACAGCGAGCAAAGAGGGCCGTGGAAGCCTTGGTAAAGGCAGCAAACTACTCCAGGCTAATGGCTATGCAGCAGGTGGGCAAGCTAAAACCAGAGTCCAAAGGCAAAGAACACTGCAATATCCTATTAACACACTAAGAAAGTTCTAAAATTTGGAAATAATACTAATAATCCTAGCATTTGATACAGCCCCATATCAAGTAATTGAGACAACAACAACAAAATTAACTCCTTTCACATCGGGAGGATGTCCCAAGGCGCTGGACAATCAGTGTTTTGAACCCGAGCTGGGAGTCGGGAAGGGTTGAGAGCAAGGGGCAAGGAGGGAGACCAAAGGCACAGTCGAAGAGGAGGGTCTTGAGATGGGTCTTGAAGGAAGCAAGGAAGTGGGCGAGGAGGAGGGACTGCGGGATGGAGTTCCAGAGCAGAGTGACTGAAGGCCCGCCCGCCAATGGTGGGGCAGGTGAGCCGGGGTCGTCTCAAAGCACTTCACAGAATAAACCGTAAGGTGAATTGACTGTATATTTTGTGGGTGAAATAAACTTTCATTTCATATATTCATTTTCTATTCACTGTAATGTAGCCCTGGGAAGTCCTTTCTATGTGAAATACAAGTGTAATTTGTTGTTGATGATGGTAGTTACTACAAAATGTTTTGAGACATTTTGAAAAGGTAAGTGCTATATCAAATGCAAGGATTACTGCCATTATTATTTACAAAACAAAAATTCTCCTGCACTTCTCATTCCCTTTGTTATCCTTAATTTGAACCTATGATCCCTTGTTTTGGGGACTTTTCCACAGCATAAAAATGTATCAGCATCCAAAATTTCTAAATTGTTCTTTATCTCGCATATATCAAAACTGAAATAATACAAGAATTATAAGAAAGTTATCTGAAATGTTAGGTTGAGTACTGTCAAGTGAAAATTAATTTTGCGCATGCTAATAAAAGCCAAGGAAACTGAAAGAATGTAAAAACTAATGTTGTATTAAAGGAAAATATTCACAATCGGTCTGAAAATACACTTCTATGATGTGAATTCTACTTAATAATTTTCTACAAATTAGATTCTGATAAACTCTTGCTACTAATGATGAAAATCATTGCATGAAACTTGGATTGGTTTTTGGAATGCAGGTTATGGGGCAATTATGTTTAAATGCACTAATGGGACTGTAAGCATGATTATTCTGTTTAATTATGTGCCAATGCCTCTGCACTGCTTGTCTATAAGTGATAGCTATGTGGTATGCAAAAACAGACTGATTCCATCTGTGTTATTTGCAGTGAGAATACACTTAGCGTTCACTTGGCATCTCACCTTGACCCTTTGGTTGAGGTAGGAATTCATCATTTGGGTCTTGTTTTATTGTTAACTGTCCTCAGTAAGGAATAATTCTACATCGTCAGCAATATGATGCTGTGTTTGATATTTAAGCATGCAGGTGGAAGAAGTATATCATTACCTTATTTTTTGACGTGATTAATCTTATTTGCTTCTGTTATTTTTGTAATGCCATACCAATTTAAAGCGTATTAGATTTACTAATGCATACATGTCAAATTCAGATTCATTAGTGGTAATGCAAGTAAGGTATTCTGTAAAAATGCTGGGAAAACGTTATTTTTCTTTCAAGCAGTTGGACAATTGAAATGTAGCATTTGGGATAAACCTTTATTAACTAGCAGTAAAGCATGGCACTTTGATTCAAATGAGTGATTTTTACTGGTGCATTTTCTATTCATTACAAAAAATATTGTATGCCATTGTGTAGAACTATAAATCAACAAGATTTTTACATTTATATAGCATCTTTCAACATTGCCTTCAGAACCCTCCTTCAAAATAATGCCATCACATCCCAGTACATTCAAAATGAACAAATTTTGCAGGTTGTTAACTCATTTTCTGTTTTTCAATAAATTTTTTACAATTCTTTTTGCTTGTATGAGTGAGAAAAGCCTTTAGTCCCTGGTAAAATTAATTGCAACTGCATATCTAGAGCTCCAGATGTAATTCTTTTACCAAGTCTGAATGATGTTAATAACGTCTGATATAATTTTTAATTTAATGTACTATTAAAAAGAAGAAGCCATTTAGAATATTTTATACATTCCTTCAGGATTAAATTCTTTCTAGTATAAGAAAGGAATATTTTTACCTGACCGGTACTTATAAGTAATTAAAACACAAAAGCTGCTAGTAATTGTTCAGAATAATAGGAAGGCTTGAAAGTGGTTGATTAATGCATAGACACTTTTGTAAGTCTCCTGTATAATTTCCCAAGAATACTCTTGAAAAAAGAGAATGTTGGTTCAAGACAGAATATTAAAAAGAAAATTATTCCATACAGTTCCCAATTTTGTATGATCTAACATTTAAAATGACTTTATGCCTCACCAATTCAGTTGTTTCAAGCATGATTGAATAATAAAAACGTTACATCAGCAGTAGTTATCTTTTTAATATTTAAACTTTTTAAGTACTATGTTAACCAGTCTTCTATTTATCCGATGGATGAAGACGGGAATAACAAAGTATTTGAAAATTTAACAAATATTAATTTGATGTTAAGATTACTTTTGACCTTCTGCCCTCAGAGAGATTATTGTTTTAAGACAAGTGGCAAAGGATTTTAAAATAACAACTATGTGAATAATTAAAGCAAAATTAACTCAAAACACATACATATGGATTAGAAATTGTGTTTCCCTCACAAGAATGAATTCATTACTAGTGTTAGGGGGTCAAAACTAGTGGAACCCAAGAGGGCCTAAAGTCCGTATTTTTTTCCCATGCCCTAAATATACAAAAAATTGAAATCCAATATTTTAAATTACAAATTGTCTCATTGGAATATTTGTCTAAGGACCTCTGTTGAACCTGGTCTCTAAACGTTTTGTACTAGAACATCAATGTAGCTTTTTTGCACCTATTTAGGTTTTCATAATATGAGCAATAAGTTTCAATACAATAATATTTTGGGAGTTGTATTATCAGGGTTTGGATTTTGTCAGGGTTAAAATATTTTTCAGTTGAAGAATGTGTCACTTATTGAGTTTTGTTCATGCATTAAGAAGCACGGAATCTATAAATTCTTTTAAAAAAGAATTAAAATAGAATTTTGTGTATCTGTACTTGGTTTTGATATAGCACCTTATTACATCAAAATGTCTCATAGTGCTTCACAAAGTTTTCTTTGTGCCCATTGTATTTGTACACTATTTGTTATTACTACTGTGTAGGTGAGATAGTGAGAGAAAAAGAGAAAGTCAGAGAAACAGAGAGAAAGGGAGACAAACAAAGAAAGAGAACAAAAGAACGGAGGAAAAATGTTAGCGAGAAAAACAAAGACAAGAGAGGGAGAAGGGCTGATACCATTATGACAAATGGAAGACATGTTTGGGACACTGTAGGCAGTTTGTATTGTGCTTGATGACCTGTTTCTATATCAGCAACGGAGATGGTCCCAATTAGCACAGGCTCTCTATTATTATCAGAATAAATTATTCATTGCATTTGATATAGCACCTATAACACCAGGGATGTCTAGAAGCGCTTCAAAACGTTTCTGAAAACAATATTGCATGTAGGCGAACAATGCAGCCAACTGGTACACAACAATGTCCCACCAGCAGCCGTGAAATTAATGATCTATTTTAGGGAATTTTTGGCCAGAACACTGAGAGAAACTCCTTCCTCTTTTCAAACAGTGCCACAGAATCTTTGCGCACCTGAATAGGCATATGAGACCACAGATTTGTGTCTCATCCAAAGGACTGGAGATAAATGCTTGAAAAAGAGGAATATTAAAGAGTTTGAGGGAGAGTAGGATAAGATCAGGTGGCTCATGTGGCGACAAACAGCAGAGCAGACTTGATGATCATTACCTCTTTCGTACTATAGCATTCTATGATTACTTCCCCCTGCCTCATATGCACCATTTTTGATCCCATTGTACCATCTCCCTCTAATATACCCTTTCTTCTGCAAATTAATAAATAACATGGTCTGGTCTGTCTACTATGATAGTCATTTCCACTAATGGTTTGTGAGCAGACAGGCGATACAGCACTGTTTTCAGAGATCTGTGTAGCTGTATCTGTAGATTGTTCTACACAATCCAAAAAAAGTTGAGTTTTACTCCATAAATCTGTTCCACGCCACCTGCCAACACTTCCTGGAAGTCCATCTCAGAGTCCCTATGACTTGCCCCTTCTGTTGTCCCCTTCAAGGTCCTTCTCAAAACCTTCCTTTGATCATGCCTTCCTGCACTCTCAGCTCCACCTGCAGATCAGGTGCAATCTTTGGACTGGCTAGTGCCTTAGGACATCCTCCCAACGTGAAAATCGCTGAAAAAATGTAAATTTGTTGTTGTTGTAGAAAAGACCCAAACAAATGATACATAGTTCATGCATGTATGTATATATATATAGAACATATAATATATAGAACATAGTAATATAGGAATAGGAGTAGGTCATTCAGCCCCTTTAGCCTGCTCCGCCATTCTATAACATGTCTGATCTGTACCTCAATTCCAATTACCCACCCTTGCCCTATATTCTTTTAATACCCTTACCTAACAAATATCTATCCATCTCAGTCTTGAAAATTTTAATGGATCCAGCTTTTACAATCTTTTGGGGGAGAGAGTTCCAGATTTCCACTGCGCTTTGGGTGACAAACTGCCTCCTCATTTCACTCCTAAATGGCCTAGTCGCTAATTTTAAGATTATGCCCCTTGTTCTGGTTTCCCCGACCAGAGGAAATAGTTTCTCTGTATCTACCTTATTGAATCTCTTTGTTATTTTAAAAACCTCAATTATATCACCTCTCAACCTTCTAAACCGATGGGAATACAGAACAAGTTTATTTAACCTGTCCTCATAATTTAATCCTTTAACCTTCATTCTGTGAGGCTGAAAAGAATACAAAGAAATGACATTTGGGTTTATCCTTGCAAGAGTGATTCCCTTCTAAGACTTTATGGTGTCGCTAATAACAACATGTGCCCACACCAACTTGACCTTCCAATCTCACACAACAGCTCTACTTGAGAGCTGGGGTGGGGGGCAGGGGGAGGTTGATTGGATGATTGAGCTCTGGATTTATCTTTATTTAGATCGACTATATGTTTGGGCAATGGCTAACAGTCATTGGATTCCAACAGGTTCCAAATCTTCAGTGGTCACTCCCAATCCCTCCCTTGGCCTATTTTAAAACATCATATTACATTATGAACCATCTCATTGAGCTCCTCAGGACTAACTATACCGTGGGAGGATCACATTGACATTCTTCAGGGGATCAAACCCAACTCATACTTTTATTTCGACTAGTCCACTTTCTCAAGTTACTAATATAAAATAATTGATAGATTTAATTAATAATCCTTGCTTTCAAAAGGATTACAAGATAAACAGAAAACAATTACTTATTTTAGTGAAATTGCATTTGATATAGTGCCTTTCACATCGGCAGAACTTCAACTTGCACACAGCGATGTCCGACAAACAGTTATCAAATAAATCACCATTTTATTTGGGTGATTGTTGGCTGGGACACTGGGAGAAACAAGGCAAAGAATGTTTTCAAATTTGTCTTAGAACTTTAAAGGTCTAGCTATGCCTAGATATTTTATTCCAATTCCCCAGATATGCTACAGAAACATTTCAATTCAAATGACTAAACTTACTATAGAGCATCTCATTGGAAAATAAATCATAATATACTTTATTTTTTGTGTTGCAAAGCACATTTTAATATTCCTGTCATGAAATATTCTTTATAAACTTCAAAATTATTCTTGAGACTAAATGTTAATGAAATCTATTTTGAGAATAACATCTTCCTATTGCATTCTGTGTTTTTATATGAATTTATTTCTCGTTTTTTTTCAGCACATTAATTGTTCAACTATTTTAGGTATATTTAATTTAATTCTAAATCAAGCGTTCTCGTCTAACCAAGAAAAATGTTGCATCATTATTGCTAGATATTATTTTTATTGCTTTGAAATCAAAGCCGTTACTTATAACAGATTTTATTTAAACATAAAGTGCAGGTTGCTCATTGATTTTGTAATGCAGGAAGTATACATTAAGTCTGCTAGATCTACTGTCTTTAACTCTTAAAATATTAATGGGATGTGATATTTTATAGCTTAAGGACACACAATGAGGGGTGAACACACAGATTGACTTGTTTTTATATCTGTAAACAGTATACACTCATAGAATTGAACCCCAAATTTACAAAGTAGTAACTCAGAACTGGTAGCTTCTTGAAACAAATACATCCTTGAACATATCAGCAGCGGGTATTTGATGCCAAGGTAGACCTTTTTATTTAAGACACAATCTACTCTGAGATTACTCTGAAATAATCCTTCCGTGCTTCTGCCCATTTATGTTTCTTTGTTATATGCTCAACAATAGAAATGTGCAGAAAGGTGGCTTGCAACTCCACTGGGAGAGTATTAGAGACTTCACTGGACAATACAATACAAAATACAATGCAAAATTACATTTGTGTAGCGGCTTTCATGTCAGGAGTACCATCCCGCTGGACAGTCAGGGATTTGGAATGAATTCAGGTTGCCAACAGTCTCAAGATGAATTCACAGACAAATTTTTTTTGCTGGTGAAGTGCATTTTTACTGAGCTATATAAATCATTAGAAAACATAATTTAAGCCTTCCGAAATATTTCAAAAACATTTGGATTTATTTTTGTCATTTTTGATTTTTCTTAGATGATTTTCATTTTTAAAAAATATTTCTTACTTTTTTGTCTTTTGCTCTCCCTCTGTCTACTTTCTCTGTGCTCAGTTGTTCTCCCTCTGCTATGTGTTTTTCTCTGTCTTCACCATAATTTCAAAGCATGGACTTTGCATTATTCAAACTTCTGCCGCCTCCCCCTTCTCTTCCCATACAAATCACTGCTCATCATGAGTTATTGCATAGAACAAGTTCAACCCGGGATTTCATTTTAAATCCTATTGTGAGAGCTAAGGAACCAGGGATAATACTGGAACCAGAAGCATTGTGAGAACAGGGTTTCAAGGAGAAGACAGGCAATCATTTATACTGCCTTGCACATTTAGTTTTACTGATGAGCCAACATAGCAGCTCTTTACTGACTGCCAGTAAATTTACTGACTGTTGGCAACCCTGCTCTGTAGGGTTCTTGGCCTGGTAACTAGATGGAGTGTCTCATGACGGCATCATGAGACATTCTTTCTCAGGAGAAGAAGAAATCTTGTCAGGGAAGCTCTTCTGCCTTGCCAATCATTCATTCTGTCACTCAATATAGAGCAGCATTCATGACCACCAAGGGGTTGCAGATAAGACTACAAACCCACCTAAAGAAAGATAACTCACAGAATGGAAGACAGTGAAAGAGGAAAAAAGGAGTGTTAATTCCTTTTTTAATTGTTTAAATTTAATGGAAATCAGCCTTTTTGTAAACTGCAAAGGAACAATACTCACAGTATTCATTCCTACTAAATAGTTTAACCCTGTAAGTACTGAATGTTTTTATAACTAGCTAAATGTATACAGATTTTTATTATTATATAAATCAGTATTATCTGCTGTATATTTGTAATACTGGCAGTATAAATAGGAAATTATTTAAATTGTTCTTATTTATTATTTTCCCTCCTTTCCTGAAGGTACTTGACTTCTCTTCTTGCTAGAGTTCCATGTGTACATTACTGACCAATATAATGGCCAATATTCATATTTTACGCCTCTCAAGAGTATGTTGGCAAACCACTCAACCACAAAAGACATCAAAGTCAAGCTAAATACACCCCTCCAGCAGGGGTCTTTGGATAGCTGGAGGTGGAGTTTTTTCCCTACCATAGGGCACTGGAGCCAATGGAAGTACCTCCAGCTATTTTACTGGCTAAGATAACGGATTCCTCACAAACTTGGATTCAAACCTGTAAGTTGGTCTGTATGGGCCAGGGTTATACAACAACAAGATTACATTTGTAAAGCACCTTTCACGTCAGGAGGATGTCCCAAGGCCTGGACAGTCAGAGTTACGGACCCAAGCTGGGGGTTAGGAAGGGTGGAGGGCGGGGGGGGAAGCAGGGAGATCGAAAGCACGGTCGAAGAGGAGGGTCTTGAGTCGGGTCTTGAAGGTAGCAAGGGAGGGGGGCGAGACGGAGGGACTGCAGGATGGAGTTCCAGAGGGTGCCTTTAATTCCAGTGACATTTTTGTTTCAGGTTTCCAGGATCTGCAGTATTTTGCGTTTTGCAAGGATTATTACATTATTATTAAGGATTTTAATTAAAAAAGATTGAGGAGATCAAAGTATTTATGGCCCACATTTCCCCTTGTGTAGTACAAATACAAATTCTGATAAAAATGCAACACTAACTGTTTTCATTGTTGCTTGATCAGATAATTTTTCCTCAGTGGCAGAATTGTTTCTTAATTCGATGCAAAATGACTGCAAATGCAAACAGAAACTTTGCTTTTGGCACCTCTTTCTGTGTTTTTGTATAGAAGTACTTGTTATCGAAAATATTTGCCAGTATCTTTAAATATTGCATGGAGATTTAAAACAAAACTGACTTTATACTCTCTAATCTTAACAATATTGGAGATATTTTATTTGTTGTAGTTAGAATGAAGCAAAAAGTGAGTGCGGACAACGTGGGCAAATTTAAGAGTAAGCCAAATAGATTTTTTGGTGAATAACGAGTGCAAGATCTAGAGTATTGTATACTATTATTGAGATTGTGGGAACACCAGATGGACCATAATGTTTTTTCAGTTCTGTACGTTTTTATGTTCTGAGTGGGGTCAATTTAACATTGTATTAGATACTCATTACATTGAATGTACCCTGATGTGTGGGAGACAGATTTCTCCACTCCGTTGTCAATGGTGAGAGTGTGAAAATGAACCAGAGGCATTGGACTTGTGGATCTCAGCCTTCAATTTCTGGTTAAGTAAGATACCAGCTTGTAACTTAATAAAAATAATCTTGTTAAATGACAATTGAAAGCCACAATCCACAAGGCAACAAGGCAAAAGTCCAATGCCACAGACACAGCATCACAGACCTCACCACTGAGCACAGTTTGGGTGGGAGATGGGGGATGAAAATGTACCAGTATATCTGTGTGTATTGAATGCGATAAATACCTAATGTACTGCTAATTGATCCCAGTGTTCAATTCTATTCAGAGATTTTTCTGTTGCATTAGGTTACAGCTTTACAGTCTGAACTGGATTTCCACAAGTGCCTGTACAACATTCAGATCAAATACACAGAGTCACTTTTCCAAGGAATCAAACAGGCATACCATGCTTTTCAAGCAAATGTAGCTGAGATCCTATGTTTACCACTGCAAGGTCAGTACATGTTTATATACAGCATTTTATACATGGCTATACGTGCATCTGTGTCTATAAATAATGTATTTGCCTCCATGACAATATTCACTTCATTTCTAATCAATCTCATTCTACAAAATGCTTTGTGACATTTTACATGAAGAGTGGTATATGATTGTACTTATTTTTATGTGATTGCTGAATTGCTTGGGACAAAGACCAGACAGAACCAAGATGAAGCTTTCATGTTTGTTACTCTTTTAATTGTTTGATGTCTGTTAGTTGCAGGATGACTGTGAAGTTCATATTAGTGGATTGAATGCCACAAGCAGCTATCCAAAGTTTTATCCATTGTACAGCAACTCACATGGCTGTAAGTTGCATTAAAACAAAATGGTGACATCAATCATACAATGAATATGATAGTGTGGTCTCATGATGTACATCACTCCACACTTAAATAAAGCCGTGGAGAAAACAGCAAGATATTAACAAGCTAATCATTAATCTTCATGTTGTTCACGTACTACATACATTCTGCGTTCTATTGTTTGCAAAGTCCATATTGAAGATATGCAGAAAATACATTACCTAGTCATCGTGAATATAGCGCAAACATGTTGGGTATTATGCAGTTGGTTCTTTTTGGTGGTTTATTTTCTGTAAGTTGCTGTTTCTTGCTGTACATGTAGCTGCCTTATGTATTTTTAAAGATGTTGAGAATTAATTTAAAGCCCTGAAAGTGATGTGTACAAAATAAGTTCCCAAGGTTTGACTTAATATGTATTTATGGAATGCACTAAATATTACAGAGAGATGCTTAATTTAATACGTTTGTAAATTAAAAAATGGGGAGAAATAATGCAAGTTACTGATGAAAATTCAATGCCAGGATACATTTCATCCATAAATTAAGCTATTTGTGCCCTTAGCATTAGCAAATTCCCCAGTGTTCATTTTCTTGAAGATAGTAACACTTTATGCAGATCCACTTTAGCTTCAAAGACATTTTAATAGATTTTATAATGTAAGGCCACTTACTATTGAGGCTTAGTTTTGTTTGTGCTCATAAAAAGCGTTACTGGTATCACAAATTCCAAGCCGACCGTACAATCTGAATACATGAGCATAATATTGACTCTTTCTTCTGACCTGACTAATTATGGACAATATTTGCATCGGCAATTCCTTCTAAAAGGATGAGTTTATCACATAAAGCTTCTGCTTCCAATTACATCATCACATCTGCAGGAGAAGCCAATATTGCTATGATCTAATTTCCTGGAACAAGGAAACTGTCTCCTTAATAAGATATGTTTTAAAGAAAAATCATACCGTATTGAAATTTAATAAAGGAAACCTCTGCCATGAGTTCTAAAACATGTGGAGAAATCCAGCTTGAAACATTGCTTTTTCTTCATCACTGAAAGATGCCAATAATTTATTCCACTTCCTGCATTGATTTAGGTTAAGACAGCATCACTTTCTGTTTAGTAGCTCTGCTATTGAAGAGTGCTCCACAATATATTAGCTTATATTTTGGCTAATTTTACTTTTAGACTTTTGTTAATTATTTATTCAGCCCAGCGGACAGTTTCACAACGCAAGTAAGGAGGGCTTTGAAGGTGAGGACCAGGATCTTGAACTGCATCTTCTGTGTGATGGGAAGCAATTGGAGGTTGGGGTTTGATAGGGTCACGGAGCTTGGCATCGGAAAGGATGCAGGCTGCAGAGTTCTGGATGATCTGCAGCCTATGGAGGGAGGAGTTGGGGAGGACGGGAGTTCGTCTTAAAACACAGTATTTTTAGTTACATTAGTTAGCTTTGCAGGAACTAGATTCCAACTTGCCCAAGATCTAAATGTATTCCTGGAAGATCTCCAAGAGCACAGACATGAAGGCAGAAAGTGGGAACGCGGAGGTTTTGAACAAACATACTCAGAAACAAGTGAATTTAGACAACTGACAGCTTTCAGTTCCTTCTAAGAGAAAGAGTTTATTACCTAAAGCTTTGATTCAGGTTTACAATGTGGACCTGAATCAAAGAAGATACAATGTCTGAATCAGCATCATGAATTTAATTGTGCCTAGATCATGCATTTTGTATGACATGGTATAAGAGGTTAATGGGAAGTGATTAGATTTTGTCTTTGGAGATAAAGAAACTAATTACTCATTGCACAAGTGTAGTAGGATTACAGTAGATCAACAGTCAAGCATCTGATCAATCCATTATTTACATATGGAAATATCCAATTTCCTGGGTACAAATGTTATTTCATGGACATTTAATCCATCTGAATAACTAATCGTAAAATAATCTATTTAGCTATGAGTTTTTTTGTCTGTTTCCAGCAGCAGTTTATTCATTCTATTTACACTGAAGTCAAGGGACTGGATGTTTCAAGGCATAAAAGGGTAAATTATTAACCAGTGATGGTTCCCTTTGTTGTGTAGGTGGTTGTCACCAAGCATTGCAGCACCGACAAGTTGTGGTTTGGAGTAAAGGGATATGGCCTGATGCCTCTCTGTTTTTTCCCATCCTCATACTCTTGGGTTTCTGACGTAAGAAGGTTTTCAAGCAGAGACCAGAAGAAAGGGTTGAAGAAGGAGAATAATCCACAATTCACTTTCATGCAATCTCCTACCAGTTGGCTTCAGAGAAGTACTGCAAGGTCAAATATGTGACCTCTCAGGCATGAAGGGTGTGCAATATAGAAAGACCATGAACCCAGAAAGGGAAAACATTTGCTTTCTAAAAAAAAGTTAAGACCCTTCCCCCCTTCCCAAACCTGAGAAAAAAGTTTCCCTTTGCATGATCCACTATGATTTACTGCTCAGTCAACAAAGATTTCCTGTATAATGTTCTTTTCAGGTCATTTGATTCCCCTGAGTAGGAAATGCCCAGTCTTCACTAGTTTGTAGCTAGCACTCTATTATACATCTGAGAACACTTGGATGGAGTAATGAAAATTTAAATCTGCACTTCTGAAAATGATAGATTTTTGGGTGACTGCATTCATAGGTGACAAAGTTAAACGTTATCATTTACGTTGAAAAAATTGGAAAGAAGAATATTTTCTTTGCTTTTTTTTAATAGCAAACTACTTGTATGTTGGTGTCCTCACATGAGCAGAAGATATAGATTTCACCAGTTGTTAAATGCCAAACATCTATTCTTGTAATGAAAGTCAAAAGCTGGAAGCTATTAAAATAATGAAGTTATTAACAATAATGAACAATAATTGTTAAATACCATTGCAAGGATAATAGATGATCAGCAATGTGGTTATGAGACTGAAACTTGAAATCTCCACAGATGCAAGTGAAAAATACTAGTCTTTTCACAAGTGAAGTTCAAAAGGATTCTACTATCAATCTTCTTTTTGTTCTGCACCTGTGACTTTTTAAGTAATGTAAATGGGCTTTTTCCAGCTGTGTTTTCAGCTGGTTTTATTTTTGTTATGGAGAGTGAACATTATGGCATTACAATGATGGTGACAGTATGGAGTGTGATGCATTGACAATTGTTAGCTGATGTTAGATTTTGTGCTGGATTAATGAAAAGAACGCAATCACAGTATGTAGCAGTGGAGTGTTTTAAATTGCTTGCGTTCTTATTGTGGGAATGTTTTGGGGTACTTTATTTTATTTTTCACCCATACCAAAAATCTTGGAATAAATTTTCTGTCCAAAAATCTATCATTAGCAGTAAAATCATTAATAACTGAATTTACTACTCATGATACTCAGGCAAAAATGGATTAACTTTAAGACTATTTCTGTGTTGAAAGAACTTAGAAGTGAAAGAGAGTTGCCTGAGCAATCTTTGCCTCTGCTTCAGCCCTGCTATTTTAGAGCTAAGCCAGTGCTGGGAGCTGGCCCTGCTCTCTGACCCCAAATGCTTTGTGCAAAATTGAGCAGTGTTAGGCTTACTGCTGCATTTGTCCCTGGACCAGACCTCAAAGAAATGTATGGCTTGTCATTTGTGGGTATGCTACTATGATGCATTGTGTTTTAAAAATTGTACACATCGGAGATCTTTATTGCAATTAAATTGACTGATATCATTGCACAGGAATAGAGCACTGATGCATCTTGGCACTGAGTATAACCATTAAATATTTTCAGGTCAAAAGTCCTTGCAAATAATTCCCAAGAAAAGCAGCTGTTAATATATGAATATTGTAAAATATAAGGCATTGTGCTTGATTTACCTTCTGGGAACAACATAAAATGGGTTGAATAAATATTGGAGCAGATTGCACACGGAGGGATGGAACTGGGTTGATGAGCCAAGTGGCCTTTTCTCGTTCGTTGTATGTTTTGTTATGTTATATGGAAATAATTACCCATTTAAAAATCTGATTGAAATTTTTCATTGTTAAGTCTATCAGGAGCAATTGAATGCTCCTGACAGTTCAGTTGAAATCAGTGCCTCCAGTCATAAAGTACTTCATCTAAGTCAGTGAATTGACTGAATATCCTAATTACATAGAAAATAATGGATACCTGGGAGTGATTAGAGGGCAGCAATTTCATTGAATTGCTCAGACAACGTCTCTTAAGAACAGAAGTTGAACGATTTGTAATCTTCATCTAAAATGAGATTGTAACCCTGAAAACATGCAGCAAGCCTCTTGTTTTCTACAGTAGTTTGTGGGATGGCTTCATTCAGTTTGGGCTTTTTTTTGGTCAGCAGTGGACTTCGCAGGAGCCATCAACAGGCACTGAAATTCGGTGCATTTATATGTAAGGATGACTAAATTGTATGGTCAGAGATTGTAACACTGTTTAAATGGTGATTGACAGCTGGTTATTATGAATGCTATAGCCACATTAGGGTAAAACATGTGCATTTCAAACCTGATTTAATGTGATAATTATCACCACATGATAACATCGAACAACTTATCGACTCACCATATAATGATTTAATTATCACATTGAATTGGTCATGAAACACTGAATATTTTACCACTGTGTATTCTAGTATTTTTAAAGCATTCATTCTTCTTCATTTACACACATCTGACTATTTCAAGATCAAAACCTTGTTTATGTATAACATGGTTTCTTTCAAGCTTATAATTTGAAGAAACAGAAAATGAATAAATTCCAGCAAATTATGCTTGACAAAACTGTCTTTGATCACAAAGTGTTTCTGAATCTGTATACTACAGATAACTAATTTCAGGATTTTATTCAACTGTCCATAAACCTCAACCACTCAGCTCCTAACACAGCAAAATCTCATCTAAGCAAACTAGATTGTTTCATAGATTTCCAATGTGTTCATAGAAAGGTGGTGAATATTAATCCTTTCTTGCATGTTATTGATATGAATCTGAACTTTATCATAGTGGCATTGCCTGCTTGAGTTTTAACTGGTTCTCGATCACCACATAACAACTGTGGTTGCAAATTCCATTGTTTCTTAAGATTCAATATGATAATTACCACATCGATCTGATGAGATACATTTCAATATTCACTCAAATTAATTGCAGAAAACTAATTGCCATCCTGTACATTTTACATATTGCTCATTTATTTCAACCTATTTTGACAGTTTCACATAGATAGTACAACAACATTGTAAGCAATGATAAGAATCTCAAGGAAAAGTATAACTGGGTTTACCTCTGCTTCACATCGGAAGACTGGCTAAACAAAACTAAAAGAAAATAAACTATTACAATAAAACAGTAACTGTCTGTAAAGAACATATCTGGGACAAAACAATTTTTTAATCTACTGTATATACAACTGGCACCTAATTGCAAGCTGAAGTTTGAATGTTTAATATATTGTCAGAATTACAGCACTGTAGTAGACAAGTAGTTTTTAAGTATACAGAACACTGAAGAATACTTGAAGCTCACTATATTTCACTCTATTTTCAGATGCAATTACAGCACAAATTATGGGTAATTTATAGTAATTTGAAGATTAGTCTTTTTCAGGCCTTTTAATCAGTTATTTTTTTATCTATGATGCATAGTCACAAAAGTTTCTCTTTATTTTCAGATGTGCTCACCTCCTATACAAACCTCAAAGTGACAGCCTCGGAAACAGCACTGGGAGACTTTTTAGCTGTTTTTAAAAATAATGTCGAACAGATGCAAGATGCAGTAAGTGCACTGACGCCCTCCCCAATCCAACAAAATGATGGTAAAGAGCAACATTCAATATTGTAAATATTACAGCAGAAACTGTGTTTTATTCCTTATATTATTCTGCAAAGTACATTGAAATGTAAAAACTATCCAAATATATATTAATACAGAGCATAATTTTGGATACTGGTAGTTGTAAAACAAATCTATTTTGCCCATGACCATTCATAATAAATGGGGATATAACCCCTTTTTAGCACAATGCCTTTGGGTTTGCATTTGGGTTTTATCAATCAAACCAACAATCCATGTTACTAACTATTTAATTGGACATAGGACTCGAAAGACTACGCAATCCTGCATAGTCCTGATGGAAGCTAAGCATTTGTGATCATTTCACTTTAAGTAACTTATTTCTGAAGAATAGTGTAGACATTTATGAGCTGTTGAAACTTTTGCTAGAATTTGCAGTTGGCCTCACTTGACTGAAAAACATAATCTGTATTATGCGTTTCCTTTTAAGAAGTGGAAAATGTCTGTATTGAAGATAACTTTTTTTCACAAGGTCAAAAAGATTAAGTAGACCATTTGGGATACTCCTACAGTTGTACGGATGCCAGAGTTCTAATATGGCCAATAGATCAAAATGTTTCTAATCGCAATGATAGGTAAAGCAGAAAACTTTGAATTGTACCAGATTGATCAACGCCGTGAAGCTTCCAACAATGTTTAAGCTATGCACAAAGATAATTATTTTCTGTGCCAATTTACTTCAAGTATACTGCATCTCATGTTTCATGCATTTCTTCACGAAGTTAATTTCTCCATGATGTGTTTTTTTCATCAGCCGGGTGCCTGACATAAGCAAAAACCCATCAGCGTGCTTAAGGGTGTCCAAACCAGACTGAAAGTTCCATACGTGCCACTAACACATGGAAATTTTTGTGCCTGGAATGGAATGTGCACTCTCTCCCCCAAAGAATGCACGCTGCTTACCGAATTCTGGAGAGTATTAGGCATAATTTGGCAAGAGAAAAAGACTTGGGGACTCCAGAGTGTGAGTTGGGGTACTGCTGTAGTAAAACCGCATAACTTGCCATTGAGGGCACCTGCCTGGCAAGCTTTCCTGCTACTTATTCAGGTAGGAACACCCTAACATTAAGGCTTTAGCTTGCAAGGTTGACAGGAGCTGTGTAGGAAGAATTCCTACCCCAGTAACTGGTCTGCCCAATTCCTGCTGATTCAAAACCTAAGTCAAGTTGGACGGCTTATCAACTGCCCGGGAGTACGACGGTACCATCTGACTCAGGAACCAGGTTGCCGAGACCATCACTGAGCATTAACTCAATTCCAACTTTCTGCTGTTAAGCATTTCACCTTAGTTCAAGGAGCTTACCTCTCCCTCCCAAGGAGATTGATGCTAGCACCATCCTCAAACAGGGAGAATGGACACTAACCTTTCGTCGAACAAAGGGACATAATTGAATGAACAGCTTGCTTTTGAGAGTCTGTTCAGACTTGATGGGCCAAATGGCCTCCTTTCTGTGCTGTAAATTTCTACGATTCCATGAATTCATAAATCGGAGCTGAGCTGGTTAGAAACCTTCGACTGTATAGCGCCCTTCTGACCTGGAAGAAATGATAAAAATGCAATTTGTCTTTGTTGTTGTAAAGGTGAAATCAGAAATATTTCTTCACACAAACTGTTGTGAGAATGTGGAATATACTGCTCCAGATAACCAGATATAGAATAAGTTGAGGTAGTTATGATGGAGATGGAAAGGTACTTGGGAAGGATATTAATGGATATCAAGAAAAGGCAGACTTGCTATGAACTAATAAAATCATGGAGCAGATTCAGTGGGTTCCAATATTCCAACTTGGCTCCACAACTGTTGGTGAATGTGAGCAACATAGATTTTATTTTTGCTTCCTTCCCTCCGGGAAGAGCTTCATTCCATTCACTGCATCTTCAGATATCTCTGATTGAGATGATGAATCACCGCTAAAAATCACACAGGAGGAGTACACCAACACACTAACTCACTATATCATGGGACCATCAAAGATCAACAGTGCATAGAGTGAATGTAGAGATTCAATTTGATACATTCTGAACTAAGCAGACCTATCAAATCTCAACGCAAATCAAGCTACTAAAATTCCTGTTTCCAGTACGAGAGAAGTCGATGGGGAAAAAGCACAGATTTATGAATCGAATTGTGTCTGTCTATTTTAATTTCTCCCAGGCTTCTGTTTCTTTCATTTGTTTAGAATGGTCAGAGGAAGTTCTTGTTCGCCAGGAACAATAACTTTTTAAAAAAGATAATATTTTTTATAAAAGAAAATTAGCAAAGTCATATAGTTAACAGTAAACAATCTGTGTAATATTAAAACCTATTAGATCCTACCTCCAATGAGCTGCCTTGCTTATGTGTGAATATTAGTCTAATGAGACTGAATCCTTATTTATTCCAGCCTCACTGTCACAATTTAGCTTGGGCAAGTTAATATCCAGTAACTCATGGCATAAACATTTTCAATACAGAAGGCCATTCAGCCTATCGTGTCAGTGTTTGCTCTTTTAAGAGCTATCCTCTTTGTCCTATTTACCTACCCTTCCCCTATATCGCTGAAGTTTATCCTACAATGTACTCTGAACATGAACTGAAACAGTGAAGTGACACATCTCTTATAATACTAAAGGTACCTTGTACCTCAGTTGCACTTGAAAATGGCTACATCAGTGTTTTTGATTTCCTCAAGAAAGCTGATCGACCACACACTTTTATTTGGCCTACTGGAACTACATACAAGATTTTGAAATTTTAATTGGACCTTTTGATTAGACTCAATGAATTTAAATCTTTTCATTGGGTTTAAAAAAGGGATAATGTAAAATGTGCCTTTCTCTTCATATAAGATCAGTCTGCTGCCTGCAGAGAAATTGGTGCTGACAGTGATAGTGGAGCTGCACAAATAAACAATAGGGTTGCAAAAGAAGTTATTGGGAAAATGCCAGTGCAGATAACACCTTACACAGAAAAAATATAAGTGTAATGTATGAAAACTGCAATTGCCTCAGAGCCAAGTTCCCTTGAGTTGTTTGCGACTTACATCGGATTCTCTGAAAGAAATGATCTATATTCTGAACTGCTGCTTCTGGTGTGAGGAGCCATTTATTTTGTCATTTTTTTGAAACAGCGTTTGTATATTCCTGCAGCTCCATTTATCATTGCCGTCATTTATTTTGTTGCAGACAGCAGAACTGATCTGAAATGGCTGATTAGGATACAGGTATAATGTTAATCTATTTTCAGACTAAATTCCATTTCTCACCTCTGGATTATATTGTATTCAGGCAGTTGAATCTTTCAATCTGCCTCAACAAGTTCTCCTTAAATGGTCAAGAGCCATCAACAATAGAACCGATCAAACTTACTTGTAAATATTTTATTTCTTTATTTCCTCTTAAAACATTCTGACGATAACACTGATGAGTGTATTGGCAAGCAATTTCTGTCTAAATTCAATTCTCCACAGGATTATTGCATGTCATTGGCTGACTTGGCTGAGGGACAAAGTTGAGGATTAGCTCTTGTTCAAAGGTGTGTGTGTGTGTGTAAGTATGAGTGTGTATTCACTTGACAAAAGTTTTTTTTGAGTGATCTTGCTACGTCAGGCCATTCCCATTCCTCAAATAATGCATCATTCTTCTACTATGGTTCCTCTCAAAGAGCACCACTACTCCTCTATTAATGATAATAGATACATAGTTATTGTAATTGTACAGATACTATCTTTCATACTATTCTGCCTTGTCTGGGATAAATCAATCTCTTGCTCTTTTCAGCCTTGGGTATGTATTGTGCTATGGGCCTTGGCCCCTCATCTTGTTATTTCAAAGAAAACAAAGTTAGGGAAGATAACTTTAGTGGTAAGGCATGATTCCCCATGGATATAGTTTAGAGGGATTGCATTGTTGGGATTCTCCCAGTACAATCAGCTTATTTCCATGGTCTCTTTGCCCAACCTGCAGCATGGGTAGAATGTTTCATTCAAACCACAAGGAAGGTCCTGCAACTAATTCAGTGGAAATTATATATTTAACAATGTGTAAGATTTTGTGGACATTTACTGCAGGTTTCCCACCAAGACAAAAATCTAGCCCATATCTAATGTTGTTTTCCAGGATCTGCAAAAAGTAAATTGATGTCTAACCAGTTTCATCCATATCACTATAATTTTATCCATTAGAACAATAAATCTATTTGATCTACAGTACGGCATTTATTTTTATGGTAATTTTAAATGAACGTTAAACTGTGAATTTAGAGACTAGATGGAACATAAAATCAATAACTCGCCAGAGATTTATCCTGTTAAGGAACTGCCAAAGATATAGGATTCAGCCTACCCTGATAACAAGAAGCAAGGTCCTGTTGTTAGGTTTCACAATTTGCCAAATCAATGCTTTATTTGCAATGTTTGTGCATACAAAAAGGAAGCTTTAATAGCTTTACTGTAAAGTGTAATTTTATTTGATTTTTAACGTTGTTTGGGGGAGGGGGAGGGCTGGATAGTTTGCTTTCATAATTTACATGATATTCTTATAATAACAACCACATTGATGAGAATCCTTATTATATCCATTGGTCACATAGCAACTTAGGTCTCCAGGAACAATCATTTGACTTGATCTCATGAGATTCTAATGGAAGCTGAATGTTTTTACAAACTGCTAATAGATATGACATTCACAATTTCTAAAAAGCAAGTGAGAGATCTAGTGTATCGAAATGCTAAAGTGAGAATAGGTAATCTCGCTTGCTGATGCATATCGTGTTTTATAATCTTTCACAGATATTTCAAATTAGTCCATGAATAATCACCAAATTTCTTAAATGGAACCTACACTTTTCTCTTCTCCCACACTATATGGAATGAAAGAAAGGCAATTAATTCCCAGTGTATAGGGCAATCACTTTATAACAGTCATCTAGGCCCAATGTCTCAGGCCCTGGGTTGTAAAGAGGTTCGATAAAATGTCTGACTTCCAGGACATCAGGATACCATTGAATGTCACTTCCTGAACTTGGGTTATAGTGAGGCGCATTACAGTAGGATTGCCCTGTAGCTTTATCAAGCTGTTTTCATCCTTCTTTAAGTTTTTGGATGGTATATATATATAACTTTTTATATAACTTTTGTAACTGTTTTAATGTCAAAGCTAAAATAAATTATGCATTGTTCTACCATGTTAGTATTTTGTTAGAAGACTTGAATCAGCTCTTGGTATATTATAGTGCTACAGGGCTGATGTTGACGCAATAGTATTTAGGTTTTGTATGTTTCACTACAGTGCACACCACTACAGAATACTGCTGAAGACAATGTCGGTCTTATTTGATGACATTTCTTTCCAATATTTAATGAACAGTATGGGAGTTACAAATTCTTTGTCAATTCTTCTGTACTTTTACACTAAATTCCCAATTTTCTTCTCTGCAGATTACTACTGTCTATAAAAGGTTTGTTGATGAGAACCAGGTGACATAAAGTGGACAGAGATTTAAAAATATTCAAACACATTCCTACTGCTGTCAAACTAGAGCTGATTTATGTCTTTTTGTTCTTGATGTGACATATGGCGTTAGTAAATCTCTCTTACTGTTCCACTTGAGATGGAATGTCTGCTCTCATTTAAAATACATGAGTTGCCATTTTTTTTGTTTTCTCCTTAAAGGTGATGAGGTTCTGTCCACACTTGGGAAGGAATTCTTTCTTTCCTTGGAGCTTTGTCTAAAGGACTGTGCAGATCAACAAGACTCACTGACCCATGAGCTTGAAGCGTTAAAGGCAGA